ACTGTACCCGAGCAATTTGCGGCGGTTTTGCACCAGTGCTTAATGACTGCTGGTCTACAGTATAGCGAGTACTGTCACAGATATCAGCTGGTACGATGGAGCTAACGAACTTTTAGCACGCGTTCGTCTATACCTCTGTGATTACTGTTGAGTGATATGAAACCTTCGTTCGCAGCTCTCAGTGAACAGCTCCCGTCGACCCATAAGCGATGTCGTGACGTTCGATGCGCCGATAATGTAGGTCGTTGACGCTTTGTCATCACTCACTTTCCCCGCTGCAACCCAATTTGTTCCGGTGTGTAACGTCGGAATGTCCCCAAGTCCAACGCAGACAACGGCAACATTTTGGCTGCAAATGGCACCTCGCAATACCAGACCCAAGCCTCTTTCTCCTACGAGTACGGCATGACCCGCAGTGAGAGCATGCAGCGACTTTAGTAAGGTCCTTCGTAGCTCCGTCAGAGGAGAATAATGAATATACCGAATGGGGTCAAATGCTTCGATTGCACATGGTATCATTACCAATGCCATCTGCTTCCAAGCGCCAGAGACGTTGCCGATTACTACGATGGACCAAAAGCCGCCAACAAGCAAAACGGTGCATTTGTGTTTTTGCGCGCAGCATGACAGACCTTCTCGCGCGCATCGATGGTCTCGACGACCCTCTCTGCACGCTGATCTTTGACTTTGCCGGCCCGCTCTCGCTCTACCTCTTGGGTCGCGGCGAGTGGGAAGGGGACTTTCGCCACCGCGACGACGTCATCGAAGCCGTGTACGCCGACGCGTACGCGATGAACTGGGAGGGCGACCTCGCGATGCTGCCCGAAGGCGGCCCGCGTCGGTGGCGCGACCGGACGAGTCGGTCGTTCGAGTCCATTTCTACACCCGAGATGTATGCGCGGTATCAAGCGCTCACGCACTCTCCCGCCACATGCCCGTTTGGCTTTCGGAATGCGTACGACGACGACACGCCGCCTCGTCATAACACGGACGACGGCGAGGATGATGCTGCAGTCGACGGCGATAGGGACGTCTTGACCATCCCACCAGACACACTTGACGAAGTCGGCTTGCGCAACTGCTGGGGTGACGCGATCGTGCCTTTCTTGGACCGTCCGATCGCGCTCGCCCATGCTGCGGCGTACGGCGGCCACGCGACGCTCCTCTACGCCTTGGAGAAAGACTATGGCGTCGACCTTGCGCGCCTCTCTAAGACGCCCGACGGAAAGACGTACCTTTTGGACCACGCAGCCGGTCGCGGGTACATTGACGTGGTCATGTTCCTCACGCGCGCCGGCAACAAGTTTTGCACGACGGACGCCATGGACGATGCAATCGCTCATGGCCACTATAAGACTGTGTGGTGGCTCCACTGCGCGCGCGACGAAGGCTGCTCGACCGCGGGCCTCGACAAGGCGTACTACAATCGCCGGGACTCGCATGCGCATGCTGCAATTCTCGCCTTTCTCGTGCAAGAGCGCGGGATTCACTTTTCGGAAAAGACGTTTGCGATGGCCGCTGCGGTCGGCGACATGCGGTTTCTTCGCGCGTGTCATGCCAATGGCGTCGCCTGTACGACCAAGACGATGGATGCCGCCGCACGGAACGGCCAGCTCGAGGTGCTCGAATTTCTGCACGCGTACCGCACAGAGGGCTGCTCGGATGCGGCGCTCACGTACGCGGCAGCGCTGGGAGATCTCCCGACGGTGCAGTTTTTGCGAACGCACTACCCAAACACCGGGAATCTCGTGAACGCCATGACCACAGCGGCGCGACGAGGGCGCCTCGAGGTTGTTGCGTGGCTGCACGCGCTTGTGCCCGTCGGAACGGCGGGCTCTAAGCTTATGGATGCCGCGGTGCGTCACGGACACTTGGAGGTCGTCACGTTTCTGCAGGCGCACCGCCCGAGCGAAGGCCCGTCGCTGCGTGCATTTGAAGCCGCACTCTGCATGATGGACGAAGCCCTCTACTTCTTCTTGATGGAATCGCGGCCCGACCTCGTGACGCCTGCGACGCTCGACTGTGTTGCGAGTTACGGTCGAAAGAAGCTGATTTGGGACCTCTACGCCCGCGGCGTTCGTAGCCCCAACACCATGGCGTGGGCGGCGCACTGGGGCAAGATCAAGTGGATGCGCAAGCTCCATGATGTGTATCACGAGGCCTACACGGACGCGGCGACGGACCGCGCAGCGAGCCAAGGCCACACTGACGTGATCGACTTTCTCCTTCACGAGGCGGGCGTCGACTTTACGTACCAAGGCATCTACTTGGCGGCGTACAACCGCGAGTGGGCGGCACTCGCGCACCTTGTGACACGCGACGTGTCAAAACACAAGTGCAATCTCGCGATCGCGCGCACCATGTACGACGACAAGAGCCCGAGCGTCGACATAGCCTCGTGGATTCTCACCGCCGCGGGCTTTGATGGCGACGTCTGGTACGACTGGGACGAATACAAGAGCTTGATCGACCCGACACGCGACGACTTGCTTCCGGAGCCCAAGA